ATAAAGAATTGGAATCCAAAAAATGGTAACTGGAATCAATGAGCTGATTTGCATCTGTAGACCAAGAAGTAAATCAGTTTTTAGATATTAGGACCTATCCATTCCAAGCACACTCACACAGTATACTTAGAAACTCTAATCAAGAACTGTGGTCTTAGCAAATTAATAAAATGAAAATTTGCTAACGTTAGTACATCAATAACTGAAACTACATATCATACTCAAAACTCCAAGTCTTAAACACAAGTTTCAAGAGGCTTTTGAATAGTAGCAGCAGTTCTTCAGTACCTGAAGTTTGAAATGTGTGCTGGAAAACAACCCTCTTAGGTGCAGCTGTACTATATGGAAAAAACTGGGATGACAGAGCCATGGCAAGCACAATAAGATGAAGCAAAAATTGCAAGATTGATGGTCTGGCCAACCAATTACCACAAACTGGTATCAAAGGATCCACACACCAACCAGTTACAATTCCAACTATTGCTGCCACTACAATATCTGAAATGTAATACCCTGCAAGCAAAGATATAAAAAACATTATATGTTTTTTCAATATTTATAGTAACTGGACAGTCAAAGTGTCAAACTACAATAAAGAGTGAGTCAAACATTTCAGATTATCCACATTCCTAAAGCACAAAAATCAAAAGAACATTAATGAGTTCCACGAAGACAACAATTGGTCAGCATGATGCAAGGGTACTTGGGAAAAACCCTGAGATAAAACTTTTTTTCCAGATCTTTACCAATTTTCTCAAACAGAAGTTGATAACAACAGATAGAAGTTTGTAAAAACTAACCATAGGGGGGTGGAATGGCACACATCATACCCATCTTCTCAATCAAAAATTGCACAAGAAACCCACCAAAGTAAACAGAGTATGTAAGGCATGGAATTCGTGGAAGCACATAAAAAACTGCTGAACTGAAAGATATAACTTTAATCAGGCTACATTCAGTTTTCTGTGCTATATAGCTTTTATACAGTAGCAGTAAAAACAGGGATTTTATGATAGAGAAAGCAAAGAAAGAAAGGAAAGAAAAAAAAAAAAAGAACCATAAGAACATAGGAGGGAGATTACACTTAACAGGAATAAAGAAACTACAATAAACAACAAAGAACATTACACAATCTCCTAATATCAAGCTCAAGCTGCCTCTGCAGCAACAACCAGATTAGTATCTTTTATGCAGTTACATAATCAAGAAGAAATGAAAATGTCAACAAAAAATTTGTCATCACATGATAATTCCAGGTCATATGGGCTAACAGTTGACTCAACCCTTTGCCGCTTTGGGAGAGAAACTGAATGGGTTCTGGAGCTATCAATTTTTCTCTTTTCCATTAAACCATGCAAATAAGGACAAGCATTTATCTTTTTTCCACTTAGCATTTGTCTTTCCTTTAACCCCCAATAAAAGAAATAGCAAGGAAAAGCAAGACAAAACCTAAACACTGGAGTGGATGAAACATGCTACAATTCAAGAAAGCCTGAATGAAAGAAAAAGCAAGGATGGAAATTGTCTTTTTGGTGTTCGAGAGTTGGTGATTAAGCAAAAATACCTGAATGCTTGATGACCGCAAGACTTGACCATGAGTGAAAAGAAAATCCATGCAATTAGCATAGACACATCAAAGAAAAATGTCAAGAAGCCTCCACTTAGGCCAGCAACAAGATAAGCCTGCCATTTCAAATTTTAGAATTTATAAAAGATGAGCAAACCAACAAAATGGTAAAAACATTTTGAATTCATCTTCCCAACAAACAACAGAAATCACACTGCATACCAAAGTTACTAAAGCATAGAATCCAAATGCTCCCCAGAATCTTGCTTCATCAGATAGTGCCTGTAAATTCAAATCAGGAACACTTTTTTACTAGCTTTCAACAACAAAAAGCTAATTCAAATTGTCAGTTGAATAATCAGGCTACTAAACAGAACATTAAGCATAGTCCCATTCCATTATTTGAAATTCAATTCAAAAAATAGCATTCACAACAATTGTGTTTTCTAATCTTAAGAAAGATCACGCTCCATAATCTCATCAATCAATTAGTGAAACATCAAGCAAAAGAACATTAGCAAATGATACTTTAAATAGTATATGTTCCGAACAACAACTTTTATATTGATTAAAAAGCAAAAGCAGTACAAAAAAATAAAGTTGCTGAAATGAATACTAGAAAAAAATGTTAGTAGTCTCCTCATGCTTCTCAGTGACACATAGAATGATAATTTTGATGGAGAATGATTCTCAATGTCTAACCATCTCAGAGGAGACTACCAGTTGTGACAGCAGATCCAAAGGGTCTATCCACCATAAGGACAATAAGTTATAGTAATTACTGTGCAGTATATATACTGCTTCTCATTTTCACAAACTGGTTTTTATCTTGCATCCTCCAATTTAGAAAGAAGCATAACATGAGAGCAAGAAATCTCTTCACAAAGGTAAGCATAACTGGGAAATTGCCATGCATATTGTGGATCCACTTAGATGGCATGCCCAGCATTGCGTGGCTTCATATAAAGTAAATGGCCTTTTTTTCCTTTTTCTCTTGATAAGATGTAAAGTGAATGGTTAAGAAAAGAAACGTCAATATCAGTTAAACTTACAAATATGTATAGAAAAAATAACATATTCTTATGTGCTGATTTACATGCAAGGAAGAACAAACCACAAATTTGGCCTAAAAGTTACCCCTTTCGGTATCTTGAGAACTGAAACATCTTGATAAAGGAAAAGAAAACCAAATTACTCTTGGGATCAATAGACCAAGAAGTGAGCAGGGAATGAACATCATGAAAACCAAGTATGGATTAGAAAACCTGCATTAACAGTGAAGCATGTCAATAAAATCAGAAAAATGTTCTTATTCAAGAATATAGGAAACAGTCTAAAACTCATCTAACTTCTTAAATCAGCCTAATAAAGAAGTAAAAGGCAATTACATCTGTGTTGTATGTGTCTGCCTGTGACAATAGATTAAGAGAGAGATTATCAATAAGGGAATACAACCAACCAGTTAATCGCATAGCTAGAGAATTGCAATCTAAGGATAGAAAACATAATTGGGAAGATAATAGCCAGCAAAATTCCAGTGGCATGGATCAACATTCCTGCAAAATTAAAAAATTGAAATTATACCAGCCTTCAACTCATTCATGATAACCATCACAAAACTATGAAAAATTAGGAACCATAACTAGTTAAATCAAAATAAAAGTTAATCAAATAATTAGGGAAATGGCATTTGGATTGTGTAAGGGATGTCTAACGAGTGGTTTCAAATAAACTGACATCTGCCATGGCTCAAATAAATTAACATCTGTCATGGCTTTACCTTTTATAAAATCATAGAAGGTTGCAAAAGACGAAGTAAGCCAGAATTCAGCAGGCACAAAAAGAATGGCATAACAAAGAAAATGGCAACAGGTATGCTATGAAGTACCACAGCTACCCTCCTTGAGTAAAATACCTGAAAGATTCACAATCAAATGAAAATAATTAATATAGTCGATCACTTAAGATTGTGTAAATTATTATTTCAGAATAAATAACCCAATGTGCATATTATACATAGCCTACCATGAACCATGTTAAATAATCAAAGAAAACAGCTCGCTCATCATTATAGTCGTTGGCACTAGCACCAACAGATTCTCCTTCGCGAGCGCTTTTAAGCTTAGAAGAATAAGTGAAGGCCTTAAGTACGCTAAGCAAATTCTCTCCACGTGCTTGCATGCTTCCAGGTCTGAATTAAAGCTCAAATTTATCGATTGAATTGATTAAGTACAAAATATAGAAGCCCCACTTTAGTTTATCTATACCAAAATAGCAGATGTTATGCATACAATACAATAGTCTGTCCACAGTATCAAAGGAGGTATGATAATAATAATCACCAAGAAGAAAAATTATATCCAGGCCAGGAATATTGCCATAATCTTGGGAAAATATCCTGTAATCTGTATCTCCAGGAATAACTGGAAAAACATCCTGCAAAGACAAAATAATCTCTCACAAATAAGTCAATAGAAGAGGGCTGCAAAAAAGGAAAAGAGAGAGAGAGAGGGAGAAAAGTAGATTTTAAGGAAAAGCATCCATGTAAATATATATTCAAAAAATTATATGATTATCAACTTTACCACTGACTTTGTTAATTACAATTTTTAAAACATATTTGAACTGATTTCATGATAGAAGCCATTAGAGAGCAGAACAAGAATATAAATCTGCACCAGATTAATTGAAACTAGGCAAGGAAAACATAATGAAATACCTGAGCGGCACTATGTGCCACGGGATAAATTGCTGATTGGGCATAGACAAAAGAGGGCCAAGAACCAGGTCCAGATTGGCAAACTAAATCTATTATGTGAAAAGAATGAAAACTCAGCTAGTGCTTTGGCACCATAAATTACAAATTTACAAGACAAAAAAATTGTAAACTGAAGTTTCACACCCTCTGTTAAATAAAACACACACACAAATACTAAGGTCATTTTGGGAAAAAAATGATGATGAAGAGATTCAGACTGAGCATAAATGAATAAGCAGAAAAATGTATTAGATTTAGAGTATATCCTACCAGGACCTCCTGTCCCAGAGGCTTCTACATTTATGAAGGCCCCAATTGAATCACGCCATTGATGTGTCTTCATGAAGCCATGAGAACCCTGAAAACCCATAAACAACATATGATGCCATTAACCTAAGCCAAAAGGAATAAAGGATATAAAACAGTATGAATTTTTAGACAGCAATTAACAAAATGATGTTAGCTGAAAAAGAATATGAAGTTTGACTTGGATTTCACCCTCCCAGTGACACACTCAGGTTGCCATCTGTACTCAGGAAGGTTTCCAAATTTTCACAGGAGTTTTCCAATGCTTGCTCAAGAAAAGGTCTGGGTCTCTATTTCATTGTATGTCATTTTACTACATCTCAGAACTCACAAATTCTAAGGAGGTAAATCAATATCAAGAGTAATTTGAGATGAATTTACAAAAATGAATGAAGCATGAAATTATTCTAATTAACCAGTGTGCAGACTGAAATGTGATCATCTTTGTGCAACAGAGGGTGTTTATCAACATTATTATTGGGAAAAGGGGTTGATTTTTTTTCTGGAAGATAGCATCACATAGTTCCATGAATTCTAAAATGCACAACATGAATCTCTTCAGATACTAAAGACATTAGAGAAAAAAAAAAAAAAAAAATCCAACTAAAATAAAGCTATATACTTCAAATATCTGTTTAAAAGGATGGAATGTTTATGTTCCTACTCTTGAACAAGTCCTCTTAAGCTAATGATTGAATAAAGAACCAAAAAAAGAAAAAAAAGATGTAACACGATCACTTGGAAAACAACAACAATCAATTGAAGAGAACCTTTTACAAGATAACAAGAAGCACAAAGCATATAGGACCAGCAATTAACTAATAGTGAAAAGAAAATTGCAATCACAGAAGGAGGTTAAACATTTAGAAGAAAAAAAAAAATGCAAAGATATAAGAACTAGATTGGCA